ACCACTTATTTCGATCCCTGGACAACTCCCTTCGTGGTAAAACTTTTAACGACGATGACGCTGTAAAATCTCACTTAACTCAGTTTTTGGCCGGAAAGGATCAGACTTTCCACGAGCGTGGAATTTTCAAGTTGTCGGAGAGATGGCAAAAGGTCATCGAACTAAATGGAAAATACATTACAGATTGAACTTCGTTCCAAGTAAAAAATAATTTTGTATTTCATCGAACAAATCGGCGATTACTTAGTTGCCAATCCAATAGAATACACTTTTTATAATGTATGTATATTATTACACAACGTTCATGAATCTAGAGAAGAGACAATATTACGAGACAAATTTGAAAAATGGGAAGCACCGAATAGAACATGGCATTCCAATTCGCAAAGTTTCTGCAATTTCCACGTTTCTTACAATATTGTTATTCTTAGAAATAGCATGGCAAATAGCATTAGCTTAGAAATAACATTCTCAGAAATAACATGACAAAAGGTCATCGAACAAAATGGAAAATACATTACAGATTAGACTTCGTTCCAAGTAAAAAATAATTTTGTATTTCATCGAACAAATCGGCAATTACTTAGTTGCCAGCCCAATACAACGATCTGATCGAACCGTTGCTGAAAAAAATATGTCGAGACTACGTGAGACTTTTCTTTTTCTTAAGGAGATATTCTGATTCTGAACTTGTAAAAGACAAAACAATTTATATTTATACATGTATAAATATACTTTCATTGACGAATGAACGAACTATACACACACGTTTTATTTGGAACAAATCTGTTCCATACAGTTGGCACAATATATTAAGTTCTAGTTGATCAATTGTGACTTTATACAATTTCTACAGCATTCTCAGCACTTCGCAGCAATTCTTCAGCAATTTATACAGCATTTCGCCAACAATATTTACATTCGACACGATTTCATCAATGATTGCAGAAAAGTTTTTTTGCAAAAAATTAAATGCCCATAAATGTATGTGCCAAAATCTACTGTGCAAAAAGTTGAGCAGTTCTTTCGAAAGAATTCTTCAAAATTGCTTGAAAGACTGCATCTTAAATATTATAAATCCTAATTATACATATATTATAATATTTATAAATATAATTTATATAAATATAATATGTGTATTTATTAATATTATAAATCCTAATTATATATATAATTATATAAATATTATAAATCCTAATTATATATATAATTATATATAATTAGGATTTATAATATTAATAAATACACATATTATATTTATAAATATTTATAATATTAATAAATCCTGTACTTTGTGGCAGCACAATATATATATATTGGGTTATTAGATCATTTAGGTCTTAGTGTAGTCCTCAGTAAATTTTGCGATGTCAACAGAATAAAATGGTCGTTAGCTGTTTATAAACAATACCTATAACAGATATCAGAATTGTTTCATGATCTGCACTGTAAACGATTAAACAATTAAAGTACATTTGTATATTCTTGTACAAACTCAAGATATATTCCCGCCTGCGATGCTTATACATTGAAATGAGACACTACAATAAACGATAAACCCTTTCTGCCTTACACATTAAATTTTAAGTTTATGTAATACACAACAGAAACTCGTGAAGAGAAATGTAACATGAATTGATTTTGATAATACAAAATAATAAGACAATAATAACAAGATACGACAATTGTTCCTCGAAGATATTTTATTGAATACCATACTAATGTACGATTTCAGGAAAAGGAAAGAATCTTGCACGTTTCCCAGATGCTTGTTCTCAAGATCAAGACCAAGATTCGTAGCTGATCAACAGCTGATAATATTAGCCACTGATACCTCCGTATTCTGGAACACGAAAACAACAGTGCAAACCGAATATATGTGTTTTCTCTAATAAAACAATCGCTCGTGCGGCCCTATTGATCTAATAAATACGAGAGAAAATCTGTATCACTAGTGAAAGGTGGTATTATCGAATGAAGGATACATGAAAATAAATATCAAACTCAAAATATCGTGAACTGTTGTTTGTCAAAGCCTAAAAAACGATAACTATTATTAACGTTATTAACGTTGTATTATACTTGTCTGCAAGAAAAGGTGTATAAAACCACTGCTATATACCATACTTAATAATATAATTATTAGAATAAAAAAAAATACTATTAAATATAAATATAATAAATACTATGATATAATATAATATACATATTATAAATACTATAGAATAAATACCATCTTTAATAATATGATTATATTATATTATATATATTAATATAATTATAATAACATAATTATTATTGTATATATTATATTATTATATTATTATATAATATTATATATTATATTATTATTAATTATAATTATATTATGTTCGCGCCGTTATACACTTGTTGTCTCCAAACAATATTAAGCACTCATAGTAGAAATGAAGTATATGGATATATTTGCTTTCTGCTAACGTGCCTAAATTCGTGAACTATCGGCAACGTTGAGCGTGACACCGAAATGATAAACCCAAACCTGTGCCCTGTTCTTCTCGTTCAGGTGTAATCTGCCTAGGATTATTTGCCTATAAGATTCAAAGACCCTGCACAATTAATTGACAAATACTTCTGCTTTACCTCTGCAGCTCCTAGCCTATTGTACATTCTCTATTTTAATTGTAGGAATTAATTAATTAATGGTAATATAATTAACCAATTAATTATTGGTTTTGTTGCTTTTGACAGTGAGTAATCTGTATTCTAAGTGTTAGTCCCAGCAGGAATTTCTGTGTAGCACCGTGTTTTTTTTTCCTTTAAACAGCAGTTCCTTTAATCCTTTTATTGTTTCATTTAGCTTGGCCTTGCCTCTAGGAAGTCATGACCAATTTTTTCATTACAATTCATTCATGGAGATACATATTATTATATAACCTTGACGACTCATTGTGACCAGAACGAACTAAATAAACGATAATCCATATCGTATTTTTCGATTCAGTGTTATAATAATTTTGTTAGATCACGCGAGAATTCAAAATGGTTGGGTAAAACAGCAGAAAAACAGCAGTTAGATTAAAAACCGATGTAAGTAATATATTTTCATATTTACAAGGACTTTTAGTCATAAGGCTTAGTAATCGGATAGTTGAATATATGGATGTATGTATACATATAATATGTGTGTTGCGCTTGTAAAAATATAAACTGCGTTCCTTCAAAACGTATTCATTTCGTCGACGTGGAAAGAAATCTTCGGGGGAAAAGAACTGGAACAAGAGACACACACACACGCACGCACGCACATACGCACAATTTCTTCCGTAAACATTTGCGTACTGTCGATCACTCGAGAAAACCGGCCGAACCGGCTAAAACGGCGCGGCGAGCGCGCGAAAGGGTTGAAACGTAGTTAAAAAGGCAGACATCGATCGACGTAACGAGTACATTTTGAAAGAACGCCACGGATAGGTATGCTTTCACTGAAAGCGATTAATTTTCCAAGAACTTCTTCGCGTTCCACGGTACAGCGAGCGCCGCAGCAGCATCGATTCAAATATAATAATATTTCTTCAACGAGCAATTCACGTTTATTCGTGTCGACTCGCGAAAATCTTTCACTCCCGCGCCAAAACTTGATTACGCGGATCATTCCTTTTCGTCGAACTTCGCCAGACCGCATCTCTCGTTGCCGTTGTTGTTACACTATTTGTTTCCCTTCATCTCTACAGAGCAAACTTGTTTTCGATCCACGAAACCTCTTGAGCTTCCTCGAATGGAATCCACGCGGTCGCTGGATCGCGATAAATCGCAAGAATCGTTTCATCCTGTTTGGAAATTGTCGTTCCGACTATCTTCGCCGTGTATTCGTCGGCTGATTTTCTTAAAAATGTTAACTAAACGAGTCGTCGATCTTCCCGCGAGTCCCGCGGCGAGGTGTTCGCGATCGATAAGAGGGGGACGTCTTCTCGTGAGATCTTCAAAATTACAGATCTACGGGCGAAAATTGTGATCCGTGTGTGTTCGCGGCGTCTCGGAAGGCACGTAGTGAAGAATCGTCGTCGAATGATATAAAAATGCTTTCCCAGGGAGCCTACGATGATGCGTGTTAAACTGTTTCGATTATCGAGCTCGTTCCACTCCCCTCAAAATTTGACTGGGCACGCCGGGAGGCAGTGCCGCGGCTTCTCCGGCTCTGGCTTCCGGGTCGTTACTGGCCGCTTCGGAAGCCTTGAATCGTTTGTATTTTCCTGCGAACAGCGAACAGCGTCGTTTTTGAAAGTGGCGCTATAAACCGTGGCTCGGAATTAATCAGCACGCCACACAAGGATCGCGAGAGCCACGCCTCCTGACTCCATTCGCACGTCTCGCTCCCCGCGATCTCGCCGCTTTCGGCATGGAACACCTCGGGCGCGTGGCCCGTTGCATTGCACAGGATGTCCTAAAATTATTGCACAAGCGGGGAATGAGGGGTTCCTGAGGTTGTTTAGAGTAACTTTTTCCTTAGCGAAAATGCGATCCGCGGCTTCGTTTACGAGTTATTAACGGAAAACAGTGACCAATCAGAGGCGGGATTAGCTGGCGCGAGGCGGCTCAGCCAATGAACGGGACTAGACTTCGACCGCTCGTTGATTGGGCCGCTTCGCGCCAGCTGATTTCGCCTCTCATTGGTCACTGTTTTTTGTTGATAACTCGTAAACGAAGCCGCGGATCGCATTTTCGCTAAGGAAGAAGTTACTTCAAATGACCTCATCTCTTGCTTGTACAATAATTTTGGGACACCCAATATGTGTATGTGTGTGTGTGTAGCATTTAGACGATAATCGAGGAGCGAGAGGCGCGACGGGACTCAAAAGGCGTGGCCCTCGCGATCCTCATGTTGCGTGCTGGTTAATTCCGAGCCCTGCTATAAACTATCGAAACATGTTCTATAAACAAATTATACAAATATTGAACGGCCCTAACAGTTAAAATCTAATGCAGCTGCCGTTGCTAATTTTGGGAACATTATTTAAAACTACTGGTCCATCATATACATTGTTATGTTAATCATACAGACACGTAATTAACACAGAGACTTCTCGTAACGATTTAGGCTTAAAGATGTGATTTCTAGACCGCGGATTTTTATGCAAAATAAAAGTTGTCTTCGTTAATTGCGAGATATAAGAACTATATAGACATTTGTTGCTTTTTCTTAATAATTTCGGCAAGTCGAGAGCGATGCAATGATGTTTTCAGTTGTGTAAATGATTTTGCTATTTTGCATTTGTTCCACTGATTTTTGTCATAAAATGGCAGCCTACGGGCGGACTGCGGTTCTTTACACGTACATTTATGGTACATGCAGATTTTTTAAATGCGATATCTTCGTCTACGTGTAAATGTATCATTCAAGAACTGTGAATCAAATTTCAAACTTGTTCTAACTCGTTTATTAAAAGAAAATTGATGTGGATAGCTATATTGCCCAGTCAATATATCCGACACAAGGTAAAAATAAAATAGAAATGTGAATGAGAAATTTTGAAAGTAGTCTCGGCCAATCAAATTTCTCCCGAAATCGTTTATTAAAAGAAAATTGATGTGGATAGCTATATTGCCCAGTCAATATATCCGACACAAGGTAAAAATAAAATAGAAATGTGAATGAGAAATTTTGAAAGTAGTCTCGGCCAATCAAATTTCTCCCGAAATCGTTTATTAAAAGAAAATTGATGTGGATAGCTATATTGCCCAGTCAATATATCCGACACAAGGTAAAAATAAAATAGAAACGTGAATGAGAAATTTTGAAAATAGTCTCGGCCAATCAAATTTCTCCCGAAATAGGAGAGATAGTATCAGAGAAGAGATGTCAAGTATCAGGACGTAAACAATGATTTAACTTTATATATGTTTATTACAATGTACCAGTCAAAATACAAATATTTGTTTCTATGAACATTGATTTTCCTTTCTGCGGCCCACCTAAAGTTAAGCATTGTTTACTTGGCTCAAGTTAGCTTTTGAGTTCGACACCCCTGATTTAAACCGTTAGTAAAACGTAAGATGAAAATCAAGCGATAAAATGAACGGTACTTACTAGCTAGGCGAACCAAAGTGACGCCCCACCAAATACTCCAACCCCATCCGACCAGGCAAAACAAAACGGTGAATAATTGGCCCACCCCGACCACCAGATTCACCACAAATGCGCCTAGTCTCGATTTCAGTCCAGCGACTGCTGAGAATCTCGGCTGACCCGAGCACAGATTGAAGATGCCGCTCCAGACGGTGCCTGAAAACGGTGAGATACTGTTTGAATGGATCGAGCGACTAATTTTTCTTTCATCTGAATTATTGCTCAACACCAGAATAATGCTGATGAAACCAGACCAATTTGTCTGTGCATGCTGCAGTAAATTCTCTCCAATTGTCCTTCAACTTGTAAACAGAAATGGACAATTTGGGAGGAGGGAGATTATTCGAGCCTCGCAGCTCGTTGATATCTTCTCTTCTCAAATCGTCGATTTTTGTTTAACCCGAGAAAGATAACCTACGTCGCAGAGGCGCCTGCGAAGACTGTTGATTTTTGTTAATTTTTCATAGAGGTCTAGTGATTTAAGTTTAAAATTACTTAAAATATAAAAGAATATAATATAAATGCATTTTATTTTTACAATAATGCCAAACCTTTAAAATGACTAGATTAACTTAAATAAATATCCATTGTTAGTATAAAATTGACGCCTTAGAAAAGCATGCGCCTCTGAAGCGTACGGTTATCTTTTACGTACGTTGTCATATGGTTATCTTTCTAGGGTTAAAAGCTGAGAGGCAATCGGAAGAATTTACTGTATTCTTATAATGTCATAATTAGCTGATAATATTTTGTATATAACAAGCGAAATAGATATTTACCAGATCCGGGCAGTAAAACGTTCCAAACTAAACAAAACCAAGCGAGAGGAACTGGTAAACACGGAATGGCGCCACGCATTAAGGAATTATGCTCCACCAGAACGTCCGGTATCTTAGCCTTCGGTTCCTGTTCACGAGAATAAATTATTAATAATCGGACAATTTAAATGCTACGAAAAAGATGCATGCTTATTGTTAATACAAAAATAAAGAATATTCGTTTACATGCGATACAGGGAATTTAAAGTGTATCAGCTAATTGTAATCAATTATTACACAAATATAATAATAATATAATAAATAAAATATATAATAAATATAATAAATCAGTACAGTAATTTCTCCCTAATTCGCGCTCCGATTGCACAGAAAAATGGACAATTTGAGAAGAGGAGATACGATTATCTGAGCCTTGCTGCTCGTTTTCATAGTTGTTGACAATCAATAACTATGAAAACGACCCGTGCGTCTTAAACAATCGTATCTCCACTTCCCAAATTAGTCCATTTTTGTAGGCAATCCGAGCGCGAATTAGAGAGAAATTTCTGTACTTGTAAAAAAATTTTTCTATTATTTGCTTCGTTAATGTTCCCAATTGGTACATAATTAGTAAATAATTAGTACATAATTGGTAAATAATTGCATTTGTACTATTTATTGTTCTAAAATCTTGCCGATTTCGATATACTTGTAGAAATAAGAAATAATATTCTATTTCGTTAACGGAATATAAATTTAAAATTTTTAATTCATCGTCTGAAATTTATGATCTGGAGAAATCGCTTTTTCTGAATTTTCATTCACCTCTGATAGCGGGGGTGGTGCGACGCTGGTAAGACTGTGCTTGGCACGTATGCTTCTTGTGCGTTCTGCTTCGGCCTTTTGCTTGGAACATTTGCAATTGTCGAACAAACGGCGACAAATCGCGCCGAATCTTCTTTCCGGAGGGCAACATACAGCTGCCTCGGCGGGCGCGATCCTTGATCTTTTTGAGCAACATTTGATTTCCCTGAGTCTTGTGCACCTGCGATAACAAAAGAACATTCTATTAATTAAAACGATTCCTGCTAAGGAACTATTTAGTTGAACGGAATTTTTTCACACGGTTCGCGAACCATATTTCCTGCGAACTCTTCCACGGTTTTTCGTCAAACAAATAAAACGTTAGCTGAAACGTCAATTTCTCGAAATAACAAGCGTATAGAAAGCGTGAAACAGTTAACGCCGATGTGCCAATAAAACGACCGATTTTAATAATTATTAAAAGACCTGTCTGCGTTCTTGGTGAAAGTCATTCCCATCAGCGCGTAATCTATCTTGCCGCGCTCACACATTATCTCTGCACTTAACGCACACACACACAACCAGCAATCGATTTAATACCTAGTTAATGAAATTATTTTTACTAGCATAAAAATTAGGTCGTCGGAGGTTTATAATTAAGTTTGTTCGTGCTCCGCGATTTTCTTCGCTTATACAGATTTCTTTTACACATCTTTGCATAAGACCATAATTTTTGAAGTGGCTGCTCTGAGATTTCATGCAAATTCCTCGCTGAAACATGCGTTTCGCATGAATTCGTTCATAAAAACAGCTCACAATCACGTTTGAGTAAAATTTGATATTCTAATAAATATATGTCTTATTAAATTAAAAGTGGGAACGTATAGTACATTGTTTATATTGTAACATTGTTTTATTTACTGCATACGACAAATCGAAAAAAAGAAAAGTAAAAAAGTTAAAAAAAATTAAAAAATAAGTAGAAAATATAGAAGTATAAATATAATTGAATGAATAATTGAATGATGAATACACGAGCTCGGCATCTCGTGATGACGCAATTGACATTATTTATCATATATATATATATATAAAAAAAATTTATAGACTTAAAAAAGTTTATTCAAACTCTTAAAACTAAGAGAAATATTAAAAAAGAACCAAACACTAATTACAAAAAATGTTTTGAAGTACATATTTATGAGAAGTCGAGACAAATCGTGGCACTACGATTCCCGCCTTTAATGTGTTAATGTTACCGTGAATGACCGAAATTGGAGAATGTCGACTTCCACCGGTGAATGTCAACAGATACCAAATACGTCGGTGAAAGATCGAATATTTCATTACATTGTTGTACATTCGGACCCTCTCCGGTGTGTGTCGACAATCACAGATATGCTCCGGTGGAGGTCCAAAACCTGTCATTGCAAAAGGAAGTGTTCCACAAATAAATGCAGTTGTAAAAGCAAGGGACTCTTGTGCAATTCAAAGTGTCATAATAGTTTAAGTTGTTGCAATAAATAAGATTTGAATCACATAAGTAAG